GTTTTTTTTTTAGATCTAAGATTTGAAAATTTTTAATAATCTATGATACATCCTAGACAGATAAACCGTTTCCACTCAGAATCATTTTTTTGTATACAATGATATAATATCATTGGATTCAAATTTAATTCCATCTATTACAGGTACCCTACTTGTAACCTACTGTGTACAGCAGAGCAACATACACGACTTACCCGCTTTTTACTCATTGTTTTTATGTAACTACACAATTTTTCATATTTAATGCATTTTTTGATATTTTTAAGCTATTAAATCCAAGCCCTATTGATTATCAATTTGTATAGTCTTCGTATTCGTCTATACCAAAAACAAATTATATTAATGAATTTCTATCCATAAATTTTTGATGTATTTTTTTTTATTTAGTTAACCCACGACAACATAGGCTATTAGGTGTAGTGAGGGTACTGTAGGGTTTTTAAGTTGGGCTTATGTTTGGTATAATGTTTTGTGTTTTTGGCAGAATTTTTAGAGGGCACCAGTAGGTTCCTACCATGCCAGTGGGAAGTGACGGCCTCTCCCCAGACAGCGTTAAATGTCTGGAAAGCATTGTCGCCCATGAYAGGGATTTGAACCGGCAATGGTGTATGTCGCAACCGACGCCTAAAACTGCCCGGCAACTACATTCTCCTTTTGATATTTTGTTGTAATTCAAAAACAAATAATTGTAGAGATAAGAATTTTTCAATAAMTATTAAACTAGCCATTTTTCATTCATAGTAAAACTTTCAAGATATTCATTTCCATGAAAATTTTTGATATATGAATGATAGTTTAAAAAAAAATTATAGAAGATTTCACACACATTTTTCTACCTTAAACAAAAAAAAAGTACTAAAATGGAATTTTTAAATTTTAAATTTCCGTTTATTGATTTTCGATATTTTGTTGTGATCCAAAAATGAATAACTGTAGACACTCAACATTTCCACCAATTATTAAAATCTACTGCTTTAGTCACTTCAAGTTTATCTAAAGTTATTTATTTTATAAAATATTTTTAATGTTATCCAAATACAATTTTTACAACAATTTTATGTGTATAAAAATAAAAAATTCAAAAATATGCTTAAATATGTGAATTCAAACTGTATATTATTTAATATATCCTTTTCATAAAACAAATTTAAAGCTTACCTTAAACAATCTAATACCACTACAATAAAACATGCAAATGCTACAAGTAACAGAGCTTTTGTTGGCTTATATTCCTAGCTTTAAATTTTATGATAGGTCATTCACTMTAATTTTTAAAATTATTATAATGATATTCATTATTGTGAATGTCAAATTTATATGTTGCAAGTGGGTTACAATGAGAAAATAAGAATGGTACTGACATGCTATAAATACTCCTATAAAACTAGCTCTGTTATTGATACTAACTGTTACTGTTCATATTTTTATTATTTAGAATCGTCGAAATGACTCTGAGGACAAAGTTGAAGTATGGAAAGATGATGTTGAAGATGTTTTGAAAAGAGTGTGTGATGAAGTTGAAAGTATCCATAGAAGTGAGTCTTAAAATTTAATTTCATACATTTCTGCTAAATTCTAATATTTTATTTTAGGCGCTGAATGGCTTTTATCTGTGAATCTATCGTTGGTTAAGAATGAAAAAAATAAATTAGCTCAAGAATTTCTTAAACTTGTTCCAATGACTGATATTGAACAGCAAGAAATTTGTGTTTCATTATTACATTTGCTCGAGTCAAAGGTAAGACTTTTAAAATTTAAATTCATAACTTTGAATGTGTTTAGAAAAAACTAATTTATAGATGACTTTATAATATTAACGAGCTTCAAAAAGCGTCTTTTGTTGAAAAATTAAATTAGTTATTATGTAATGTTAGTATTTCATATTTCACTGATTACCAAATGTTTTAATATAATATTTCAGGCAAAACATCGAGGTCCTTGGGTTACACACCAAACACCATATGGTCGATGTATTTATTTAAATCTCGAAACTTTGGATTATTCTTGGGAGAAGCCAACTTTTTTTCCAACCCCAAAGTATTTAAATATGGAAGAAATACAAGTAAGTTTAAGTTCAAATAAATCTAATATTTTCATAATTATAATTTTATTTAAATATGTATCTATAGACTACAATAATGAATATGAAAAAAAGTTATCAGCATCGAAAAGAGTCAGAAGAAATAAATAAAATGATTATTCAACTTCAAGCTAATATTCGTGGATATCTAGTTAGACGAGAAATAAAAAACAAGAATAAGTTGTGCTACAAACATGAATTATATGCAATTAAAATACAAGTAAGTTGATATCATTTTTTAAATTTTTTAAATTCTATTAATTAATTTTTACAATTAAATAAATTATTTATATTAGAAATGGTGGCGATGTATTTTATTCCGAAGACAATGGGCAGCTTTGTTAAAAAAAGTTAGGAAGCAATTAAAACCTTTTCAACGGGTTTATACTAAAAGTGATGTTAGTAAAACCAATATTTCTTTATTATAATGTATGATTTATTTAAAAATATATATTTGTATGTGTTCTAGGTAAAACACATAATAAAATTACAAGCAACTTGGAGAGGTAAAATGGTTCGCAAACATTTTTATCATTTATTTCATACAGCAAATCCACCATATAAGATTGTTAAGCATTTTGCTTGTTTACTTAATTTTAATTTAGAAGATTATCATCGAGAATTCGAATTACAAGTAGGTCTTAGATTGCATTATTTAAATATTAAAATACTAATCATATAATTTCTGTCTCATTTCGACCGAATTCATACTGTTTATCAATACTTATACTACTATACTTTGAGCCAAGCTTGTGATTAATTAAACTAAATTAAATGTTAATACAATTTTATGAATTGTTTAGAATCTCCGTGGGCAAATTACTCAACTTATACGTCAGAGCAATAAAATGTCACTTGAAGCTGATGAATTGGATACAAAAATAGGTTTACTTATTCAAAATAGAATATCATTACAGGTAATATATTATAGTAGCAACAATAATTATGTTTGTTGTTGAAATACCTATAGAGAATAATATTAGTATGAAAATTAATAATAATTGTTAAATGGAAAGTTTGTCTTTATTTTTTATGTCTAGGATGTTATTAATCATAAAATGAAAAATAATGAAGACATTAATAAAATACAACAACCAAATAATATGCAAAATTCTATTAGTTTAATGTCTTTAAATAAAAATAGTAAACATCTCTTGGAATGTTATCAGCATTTGTTTTATATGCTTCAAACAAAACCATATTATTTAACAAAACTTATATTCTGTTTGCCATATTCAGTTCGTCACATTTCTAAGTAAGTATTAAATACATTAAAATYCAATAATTTTTTAGGATATTATATTTATTTTTCTATGTATAAGAATATTTTATGAATATTCATTTTTTTAAATTTATTTCAGATTTTTAGAACAAATACTAATGTCAGTTTTTAATGCTGGGAGTAATAGTCGTGATGCTTATTTTATGTTAAAACTATTAACACTAGCTCTTAAAGAAGAAATCAAAATTAATTGTACTAAAGCAGCAGAAATTAAAACTTCAAATTTATACATATTAAAAGCAATTGTAGACCAGGCAAGATGTTTTGATAATCAAAAACGTTTGAATACAATCTTTAGAACAGTAGTTGAAAAGGTATGTTATTAATTTAATGTTTTCATTTAATTAAAAAGTAACATATCAATTAAATAACACTTCTAAGATACAATTGCTAAATGATGTATGACAAGTGTTGTATGTAACTTGAAATTTTTTACCACCTTGAATTAAATTTACAATTTTTTATTTATTCTTTTTTTTTAAATACAATTAACAAATTGTATAGACAATTACTTGTAATTTAACATATATTTGTTATTATTTAGCTGATACACCATAGAAATAATCTATTTATTGACACAAATCCAGTTACAATTTATAGGGCTTGGCGTAATGAAATAGAAACCAACACTGGAGAAATATCGTAAGAATTATTCATTCTGTTTTATAGAATTCTTACTTACTCGCCTATTTCATTATAAAATAATAACTTTTATTGGTTAATAATTTTATAAACAATTTTTTTTTGTTTATTAGAGATCTACCAAGCTCCGTAGATCAACATACTGCATTAAAATATGAAGAAGTTCAAAAAAGGTTAACTCATAATTTGGAACAGCTACAAAATATAACTGAAGAATTTTTAAACAAAATTCTAGATTCCAAACCTTTAATACCTTATGCCATATTATACACAGCTCGGATATTGTGTGAAACTATACATGAATTATTTCCCGATACTCGAGAAAGTGAGGTGTATAAGGTAAGTGGCATTAAATTATGTTATTAAATTGTAAGTAAGCTTATAAATTAAAAATGAATTCATATAATATTTATTTTTATAGATAATTGGCTACTTTGTATATAATTTATACATGAATCCAGTGATCATAACACCTGAAATTTATGATATATTTGAAACTAAAATTGAAGATGGAATAAGTTATCGACAACGACATAATTTAGCTAGTGTGGCAAAAATCTTACAATATGCATCAAATAAAAAAGGAGTAAAATAATATATAAATATATATATATATATATATTAAATTATTTATATTTATTTATATTTGTAGTATAAAGATGAAATCCATTTAAAATGTATGAATCCATTTATACTTGACTGTTACACAAAATTAAAACTGTTCTTTAACAATTGTACAAATGTTGATGATCCTGAAGTGCATTATAACATAAATGAATTTACAGACGTAACACTTCTCACTAAACCAACAATAAACATAACATTGCAGGTACATTGAATTATATTCATTATGAGAAAAATGAATGAATTAACTTAATTGTTTGTTTGTTTAGGAAATCCAAGAAACACATTCTTTATTGTTGGATAATATTGATCAAGTAGCACCTGATCCTAACGATCCAATTCATCAATTGCTCGATGAATTGGGACCTTCTGCACCAACACTTTCTCAACTTTATGGATGTTAGTGAAAATTATTATTATTATTATTTCGTGCTTAATTGTAACTTATTTGTTTGTAGCTGATGACGATGATGTTATTGTTCAAAGACGAATTGCTACAGTTCATGTTTGTCTCACATTGTCTGATAAATTTGAACCTAATACAAAAACTGCTTCTGTGACTAAATTATTCATCAAGTATGGCATATATTATTAGGTATAAACACTTTTTGATGCATACAAATTAATTTTAATCTTTAATGTTAGGACTAAGGAATTATTGATAAGAGTGCTTCCATATTTGAGTGGACATACATTACCAGGGTCTTTAAGAATTGATTCAACACCAGATGAAGAAAGTCGATTTGCTGATAGAGAAGATAAAATAAGAGCTTCTGGAAAGACTGTAGATTTTGAAGAGTATGTAGAATTTATTGAAATTTTTAGTCTCTGTACATACAGTGTAGTGCAATTAAGTTGAATATCATAGCCCAATATTTAAGTGCATACAAAAAAAATAAAAATCTTCACTCATCAAAAATATACTCGCTTAGCAATTGAAAGATGGTTTTGATCACCAAACCCAGTACATTACTAATTTTATAATTTTAATGCTCTTTTTTTGGAATATTAAATTTCAAATAACCTCTGTGACTAGATGTTCTAATTTCAAAATTTAACTTTCTTATTTAAGCTTTACAAGTTACTTAGTTTTTTAAGTGCCAAAACTTAACTTTCCTATTTTTCTCAGTTATAAGTTTATAACTCATAGGCTATGTTCCAATCTTCCTTCGAAGTCTTATTTCTATTATTTGCTTATTACATTTGAAATTCAACCTTTATTTACCAYTTCTGTACTTGGTTATTATACACAAGTCATTGAACCATTGACTTTCCTAGCTCTTTATCATCACGTCCCATGATTGCCGCGTTAAGTGGCACATATATAAGTGAGAACTAGTATCACATAGCTAGTATACAGTTGTTCTTATGATTTAAAAAGCTCTGTTTGAGTGAATAAGATCCATTGGATACTTACAACTTTGTATTTATTTTGCCTTTCATATTTATTTCAATTCACGTATTTCAATTCTTACATCTGTTCTATTCTGTAATTGGCCATAAATAACTAGATATAAATTTTTTGTTTTCGTGTCATATTTAATGTTAAGTTTGTGCTTTTTCCAACTTATTCTACATATTAGAATACAATTGTAGATTGGTATTATAACATTTAATTTTAACGATTACAATGTGTACAGGGGAACATTAAAAGAAATAAAAGCAAAATTGAGAAAACATTTGAAAGTCTTAGAAGAAGAAGGTATTGTGTCAAAAGATGATGGATATCAAGGTATTATTACATCAGTGGCTAAAGATATTTGTAATCGAAATAAATATCGTCAAATACAAATTAAGGTTTGTAAGAAATATAATATATATAATATGTTAATTACTATGAATAAATACATTTTGAATATTGAACCTCAGGAATTGCAAATGCTGAAATCAACAAAACAGAGATTAGATGAAAAAATTAAATATTTGGTAGAAAAAATAAAATCATATGAACAGTACATACAAACTTGCTTGGATAAACATAACACAGGCCAAAAGTAAAAATAATTTTTAAATTTTTATATTTAAATAAAATGGCTTATTCAGTTGAAAATTTATAATTTCAGAAAACAAAAAAAATCATCTAATAGAGGTGCACTGTTGAAGTCTAAGAAAAGTATTCGATATACAGCAGCAAAATTGCGAGAAAAAGGAGTACTAATTGAAGTAGAAGGACTTCCGGATGGGCAGTTTAAAAATGCTCAATTTGAAATTTGCCCAACTGATGTTCACGGTGTGTTTTTAGTCAAAGGAAAATTTATGGGAGTAGAAATGGAAACTATMAATATTGATATACAGGTAAATAACTTGTAATGTAGCATGAAATAAAATTTTATTCATCTTATAGTTCAAGACCATATTTCTTAATAGTCTTTTAGCCATAATCAGGGTTTGAAACTTACTGCACTAAAAAGACTGCTTTTAAAATTTTAAAATCATCAAAATATGCATATAAAATTATATAATAATTTATGAATTAATAGTTGCTGAACCTTACATAACTCATTTATTTATTGATAAAAAAGACTATTATTTGATATTTAAATAATTTAATTTATGTTAATACCKCACATCAAGCTGATACAATATAATGATGCATAAATAATAATACATACAATTTTTCACACAATATTGAACTAGATTTGTAAGTTTTTAATTGAACAGTTGTCAATAGCAATGTTTAATGTTAATAAATAAATAGACTTTTAAATAAAAATTAGGACTGGACCGATATACAAACCAATATCGATTATCAGCCGATATTGGTAATATCGGTTTTATCAGTATAGGTTTTTTTTTAAAACCGATAT